AAGAAGAAAAAGTTTAACTTTCGATCTGAAAGTTTAAGGAAAGTTCTTCTTCTATCTCTTTCCCTTTGATTCGTGTTTCTGTACATGCCTGGGAAATTTCAGAATTTATTAAACACATAAAATTAAATAATTATGCATGTTTAATTAGATTAGAACATAGGTTTTATGAAATTGGTTCATATCTGTTCTTGTGTTATGAATTGATAAATACATGATTTTGATTTGATTGCCAGTGTGAATTTTTATATGTTTAAATTATGTATTTTTCATATCTGTGGAATGATGGAACGTAGAAACATGCCTAGGATTCCTGAATATTAAATAGGAACTAGGTTTGGGTTTAAATAAATTTAAATAGACTCAATCATAATGATGCTTGCTATTTGAATGTTTTAAACAAACGAATGGATTTAATCTTTTAAAATGTTTTAGCAATTGAGATTAAATGTGTAGGATATATAATATAGGAAGCTTAAATAAATAACAAGTCATTCCTATTTTGTGATAACTTGATATCATATTATCATAGTTATTTCTGAATTGTTTGATGTATTTCCTTAATCGTTACATCAATTGTTGAATTGTGTGGTTTAATGCACCGGTATTAGATGGTGGCATTCTAGGGACGGATTAACTTATCAGTTAAGTCCTACCTATTTTATATAAGGGAATGGATTAACTAGAATGTTAAGTCCTACTTATATTCAAGTCAGGTCAGCTGAACAAGTTGAATAACTTATGGAGGATTAATTTATTATATAAAGGAATGGATTAACTAAAATGTTAAATCCTACTTATATTCAAGTCAGGTCAGCTGAATAAGTTGAATGACTTATGGAGGATTAATTTATATTGGATAGGATTGTTACTAAATTATATATAAATAAGTATTGTGCCATGATATGAGCTTGAGTCTCAAGATCAGTGGTTAGGGCGCGTATATTGCCAGGGATGTGTAGCTAAATATAGTGTAGTTGTGTACCCTGGTAGGTCTAGATACTCATGCTCTGTGATGACCTTGTGGGCGGGTGTACCGTGGGCGGGTGCAAGAGACCCTGTCAGGCTACCACACTGGCGAGCTACGGGTGCACAAGTCCCACATCGCCTGGGTAGAAGAAAGGTGAAGTGCTTATATGTAAGTGTATCATCTCCAATTGGTATGAGGCCTTTTGGGATGAAGCCCAAGAGTAAAACCGTGCGGGCCTAGGCCCAAAGCGGACAATATCATACCATGTGATGGAACGGGTCGTTACAAATGGTATCAGAGCCTGACCCAGCTGGAAGTGTGCCGACGGGGACGTCGGGCCTCCAAGGGGGGTGGATTGTGATGACCCTGTGGGCGGGTGTGCTGTGGGCGGGTGTAAGAGACACTGTCAGGCTACCACACTGGCGAGCTACGGGTGCACAAGTCCCACATCGCCTAGGTAGAGGAAAGGTGAAGTACTTATATGTAAGTGCATCATCTCCAATTGGTATGAGGCCTTTTGGGGTGAAACCCAAGAACAAAACCGTGCGGGCTCAGGCCCAAAGCGGACAATATCAGACCATGTGGTGGAGTGGGTCGTTACAAATGGTATCAGAGCCTGACCCAGCCGGAAGTGTGCCAACGGAGACGTCGGGCCTCTAAGGGGGGTGGATTGTGACGACCTTGTGGGCAGGTGTGTCGTGGGCGGGTGCGAGAGACACTGTCAGGCTACCACACTGGCGAGCTACGGGTGCACAGTCCCACATCGCCTGGGTAGAGGAAAGGTGAGATGCTTATATGTAAGTGTGTCACCTCCAATTGGTATGAGGCCTTTTGGGGTAAAGCCCAAGAGCAAAACCGTGCGGGCTCAGGTCTAAAGCGAACAATATCATTCCATGTGGTGGAGTGGGTCGTTACAAATGGTATCAGAGCCTGACCCAGCCGGATGTGTGTCGACGGGGACGTCGGGCCTCCAAGGGGGGTGGATTGTGGTGACCCTGTGGGCGGGTGTGCTGTGGGCGGGTGCAAGAGACACTATCAGGCTACCACACTGGCGAGCTATGGGTGCACAAGTCCCACATCGCCTGTGTAGAGGAATGGTGAAGTGCTTATATGTAAGTGCATCATCTCCAATTGGTATGAGGCCTTTTGGGGTGAAACCCAAGAACAAAACCGTACGGGCTCAGGCCCAAAGCGGACAATATCATACCATGTAGTGGAGTGGGTCGTTACAAATGGTATCAGAGACTGACCCAGCTAGAAGTGTGCCGACGGGGACGTCGGGCCTCCAAGGGGGGTGGATTGTGATGACCTTGTGGGCGGGTGTGTCTTGAGCAGGTGCAAGAGACACTGTCAGGCTACCACACTGGCGAGCTACGGGTGCACAAGTCCCACATCGCCTGGGTAGAGGAAAGGTAAAGTGCTTATATGTAAGTGTATCATCTCCAATTGGTATGAGGCCTTTTGGGATGAAGCCCAAGAGTAAAACCGTGCGGACTTAGGCCCAAAGCGGACAATATCATACCATGTGGTGGAGTGGGTCATTACAAATGGTATCAGAGCCTGACCCAGCCGGAAGTGTGCCGACGGGGACGTCGGGCCTCCAAGGGGGGTGGATTGTGATGACCCTATGGGCGGGTGTGCCGTGGGCGGGTGCAAGAGACACTGTCAGGCTACCACACTGGCGAGTTACGGGTGCACAAGTCCCACATTGCCTGGGTAGAGGAAAGGTGAAGTGCTTATATGTAAGTGCATCATCTCCAATTGGTATGAAGCCTTTTGGGGTGAAACTCAAGAACAAAACCGTGCAGGCTCAGACCCAAAGCGGACAATATCATACCATGTGGTGGAGTGGGTCGTTACAAATGGTATCAGAGCCTGACCCAGCCGGAAGTGTGCCGACGGGGACGTCGGGCCTCCAAGGGTGGTGGATTGTGATGACCTTGTGGGCGGGTGCGAGAGACACTGTCAGGCTACCACACTGGCGAGCTACGGGTGCACAGTCCCACATCGCCCGGGTAGAGGAAAGGTGAAGTACTTATATGTAAGTGTGTCACCTCCAATTGGTATGAGGCCTTTTGGGGTAAAGTCCAAGAGCAAAACCGTGCGAGCTCAGGCCCAAAGCGGACAATATCATACCATATGATGGAGTGGGTCGTTATATGCTCACTATATGTGCGTTTTGCATGTTGCCTACTATTCAGGTTGAGATAACCCAATAGTCTAGTGAGGTTTCTTTAGTGTGTGTGTGTGTGTGTGTGTATATATATATATATATATATATATATATATATGGACTACTAGTTAATATTGAATTGACTAGGATGTATACATCTATCGGATCTCTGCTTGGACTGTAGTAGAGTTGAACTTGTTTGTGGGCCTGACCCATCATTATTTTTCAGGTATTCGTCAGGAGTAGAGGTTGTTCGTGCTGAGCGGGGATCAGTCTACTGCATTCTTCCGATGCTACATAGGAGTTCTTTTATGATTCAGTTTCCTGATTTAGACAGTTATTGTTGTCATTTGTTTAGTTTGGATTTTCTAGGGGTCCACACAATATGGATTCCCAAGTTGTATTTTGGAGGATCAGTTGTATCAGAAGAGTTTATTAATTAATGGAAATATATTCTGAGGTTTATTATTAGATTATCATTTTAGTTTCTTGTCAGCATTTTATTTATTCTTCTTTATTTTTTTGTACTTGTGTTCGTTTATTGCCGATTTATTTTTGATATCCTTGGGTGTTCGGGCGCAGGCTTGGCCAACCCGCATTCAGAAATCCGGAGGTATCACACTTCTCAATCAAATACCAGAACAAGAACAATGCTTGAGCTCTGTCGAATACAATCTATGGAAAGAAGAGGCATAGTGCCTCCAATGGCTCAATTCCAAATAACCCAACTCTGTGATCTATGTGAATTTTGGGAGTGTTGTTGTAATGAAGGCTCAAGAGGAGTTAGAGTTTAGTTTGGGACTTGCTAATAGTAACCACTCTTTTTTTTAAGTGATTAGGCCTGACTTGGTTGTTGGGGACTCGGCAATTTTTGAACCTGAATTCTTGGAGGGAATTAAAGAGAGAGGGTTCATATCAGGTTGGTGTCCACAAGAACAAGTTCTAAATCAACCATCAATTGGTGGGTTTTTGACACATTGTGGGTGGAATTCAATTGTTGAGAGCTTGTCAGCTGGAGTGCCTATGATTTATTGCCTAGTGTTTGCAGATCAGCAGACAAATTGTTTATATGCTTGTAGTGAATCGAGGATTGGGATGGAGATTGATGGGGACGTGAGGAGAGAGAAAGTGGAGAAAGTGGTGAGAAAGTTGATTGATGGAGAAGAGGGTAAGAAAATGAAGAAGAGAGCTTTGGAGTGGAAGAGATTAGCAGAGGAGGCCACAAGACCACTTAGGTTATCTGCTTTGAATTTAGACAAATTGGTGAATGAAGTGTTGATGTCAAAGAGCTAAGCGGAGCTTTACATGGTTCGTGTGGAATGCTTATATGAGTCATGCGAATTAGTCTGAGAAAAATCCTGGACACCTGATTATCAAAATAAAAAAAAAGAAGTTAGATTCTAGAGTCTAGTTTGATTTGGATATGGGGTTGTTTGGAACATCGATACAATAAGTTGCTATTGGCCCCTTTTATATGTTTTATTTTATTTTTTTTTTATGCGCTTTTATATGTTCCAATAAAGTAACGTTTTTGTTCTCCCATGCTTCTAACTAATTTGTACTATAAGATAATAAATTTGTACTAACTGCAAACATGATGTAATGATGTTGCATAATGGATCGATTCCGTGCATTTGCTTTCTCGATTAAAAGTGGTTGCTAGATACATGAAGTGATTCTGTTACATCATCAGTTTTCAATGGTTGCAAACCTGATATAGTGTTGTTGCATTGTCAATATCAAATTGTTGCAATGACAATGTACATAGAACTGGATTCGAGGGGATCCAGATTGCTTTATTAGCATATAATAAAATGATGTACGTATACCTAAAAGAAGCTTGGGTAACACAAAACAAGGCTAGGCAAGTCGGGCCAAAACTCCGACTAACGGTGCACTATTAGCGGTTGCGGGTTCTGATTGCTGGAAGTTTTGTCGAGAGTCCGAATAGTTGTCACCTTGATCCGGACCACCAACTATTGCACCCTCTAGCACATTTGGGTTTGGTGCGTTTTTGTTAAACCAATCTTGGAACCCTCCTTTGCATGTTACTGGCTTTTTATCCCTCTTTATGGACACAATCGATGATCCTCTGTGATGGATCTGCTTCGGATAGTTTGACCCGAACCCTACCATGTAACTCATTCTTCTCGGGTTGGAACCCAGTATATAATCCACCTAACAATACAAAGCCAGCCATATGTCTACTTTAGGTAATTTTATCAACATGTTATTCTACTGAATTTATGTGAGTGGGACAACAATCATATTACAAGAATTTGAGTATTTACAGCTAATTTTAGTAATTATAAGCATCAACAAATCATTTAAATTGGTATGTAATTCGTAATTACATAATCTAAACATGAATGAGACCATTAGTGCTGTTGGTAAGTCTCATCTCTTAAACTGTAATGGTATGATTTAATTATATATATGTGTGTGTGTGTGTGTGTGTGTGTGTGTGTGGTGTAAGTTTAAAACAAAAGAAAAAAAAAATAAAAATAAAAATAAAAAAAGAAAATTCAAGAAAAAATGGGTGGGACCCACGAATGTTTTAAGTGGTCATAAGACCACGTTTTTTTTTTTTGGCTCTCTGTAATCTCATTCCCTCTCTCCCGTCTCAGTCTCTGTGTCTTCCTCTCGGCATTCTCCTTGTTTTTTTTGTTTACAAATTCAAGGCTTGATTTCTCCCTCATTTCTTAGTGTTTTTAAGTGCCGTTTACGGTAAAATGGAAAGCACGACGAGCTCTACACGTGTGTAACAGCAATTTCAGTTTTGAGCAACCTAGAGGGTTCAAAAATCTTGACCCATTTTGAGGGTTTGAGGTGAAAATTGGGGGTTTTGGCTTAAATTGAGGTAGGGGTATTTAATCCACAATCTCTTAGATTTTAGTGAATTATTTTTCATAATTTGTGTTCTAATTTGTGTTATTTTCATATTTGTTATATGTTGTATATGAGATGTGTATATATGCCTATATGCTGAATTTTATGATTTTGAAGCATGATATAAATTCTTAGAATATTCCAATAAGGCATGTATATTGTAAATATTTGACTTGTAAGAAATAAAAGTTTCTTTATTGGTACGTCATTGAAATGCATAAGACATATATGCATTCATTGGGAAAGAATGGGAAAAAAATTGATTTGAAAGAAATGAAATAGATTTTGGGAAAGAATTTTGAAAACGATTTTTGTGAAAAACCCGGCTGCCTAGCAGTTGTCTAGGGACCGCGGCGTTTGTGAGGCCTAGAGGGGATTAGGGAGATCGCCCTAGTGTGATTGAGTTACCTGGGCCCCAAATGATGCCATGGAGTTGCCATGGGTCAGGGACAATAGCCAATCTTCCTCTTGTGCCGCCATGGAGTTGCCATGGGACGGGTTCACTAACGGTTTGGAAATGATAATGGAAATGGTTTTGGGAAAATGGGGAGTGACATTGCATGGTACGACATCTCATTACATGGCATATTTATTTGTGGTATTGGATTAATGATGTGGTATCGTGGTTATATTTTTTTTCCCGACATGGTATGATCCAAATTTCTTTATTCCTATTTATGGTGTGGATTCACCGGGTCTCAAAAGGTGTGCCTTAGGCACTTCCTACTGAACTTATGTTCACCCCTTCATTTTAAAATTTTTCAGAAAACGGGAAAGAAGTGGCGGATGATGTTCCACCACAGGCTTAAATTGGATTAGAAGACCTTTTTGTTATTTTTGTATCTAAGTCTCACTATTTTTGTAAAACTTAGCATATTGTATTCTGTACTGAGACTTATGGACTTTTGCTATTATAGTTATATTCATGGGCTGTAATTTTATTATAAGTTGTCTAAACGTTGTAAGACATGTACTTTAGATCTTAACCATATATTTTAGGACTGTAATTATGATAATTTGAATTAAATAGTATGTGAATGTTCCACCATGAGATGATCCATGTTGAGGTATAATGAACAGATGAATGGGATGCTGGAATATATTAATTGTATTATGTGTTGGACAGGTCGGATATGTCTTGAAACGCCAAGGCCATTGCGTTTTTTTTAGCAGGTGGTTATAGGCCCCTTTTTAGGGGAGGTCATGCCGAATTTTTTTTTTTTTTTTTTTTTAAATGGTATCGGTTTAGGGTCGTTACATAAACAAGATCAGGTGAGGGTTCGAGCTCCAAGATAGGCTTAATTTTATGAGTGTGGGTGTGAGTATTTATATATATATATGTATAAATAAGCATATATATGGAGTGTCCAAGTATTGTTATGTATAAGAAGATTATATACCTGTGATCGAACAAAAAATAGTAGACCTTGAGGTGTGACAATACCACCTTGGCAATGAAGTTTAGATCTTGCAGTGGTTAAGTACTTGGAATAGGCGGTTGTGACAAATAACGCACTCGTGGTGTATTGTAGATTATCCCATGGGCTCCACCACAATAACCCTGCCCGAGTCTTTTTCACATTGCTGCTTCCTTTCTGGATGCAGTTACAAATGAATTGCTCAGCCTGGTTCTTATAAGCCGCCCAAACTTTCTGATTCCCTTTTAACTTTCCCTCCAGAAGAAGCTGTACGTGTGCAAACATAAAATTCTCATCTAATTAAGCAAATAATTAACCACAAATAATATTTAGTGCCAGTAAAGATAGGGTCTAATGGGTGAAGTGATTAGGGACGTCGTTCATAGCTCCACTGCACGCGTGTTGTACTGCAGAGGATCCCATTATACTACATGTACGCTACCTTTGCAATGAGGACTTGGGCACCAACGTACTTGTCGTCCCAAGAGAACATGGATCTGGTGCCACCTGAATTCCCGGATTTAATGATGTAATCAATGTAACTTTGTTGTCCAGTGGCAATGTGCAACCATGCAGCTGCCCATATCAATTCATCCTGTGTGGAGGACAAACAAAATGGTAACCATTATATATAATATATATCCTAGTGTCTTGATAAGTTCCTTGGAAACAAAATGGTACTTGATCACGCACACATACATAAGTGTATATATATATACTTTGATTTTACCTGGTATCCACTACTGGAGTAGAATTTTCCAGCCACTGGAATGCTGTTCTGGTACAGGCCTTGATTAGTTTTAGCGAATTGGAAAAGCTATAATTGAAGACAAAATCAATTGGATTAGCTTTCTTCAAATCCATAAATGTATTTCAAAGATGCCTAAACACTAGTTTTGACGTCCCTAGTGGGGCTTGAACCCCCCACCTCCGCATTTGTACGTACATGCGTGTGTATTTAAAGGGAAGGAGGGAGAGAGAGACCTGATTTGCATGGATGATGAGCTGAGCAGAATATTGAGGGCTTGATTTCCTAAAAGCTATTGCTGATGCAGCGAAAGCAGCTGCAGTTTCCGCTGCAAGGTCAGATCCTGGATGCTGTGCATCAATCTTGTAAGAAGTCCGGGGAGTCGTCATATCCTCTGGCCTCTCCCAGCACGCATGGTCGGAATCACCGTCTCCGACTTCACCATAAAGAACATTATTCTTTGGGTGAGCTTTGATGAAGTAGTCTGTTCCCCACTTGATGGCTTCAAGAGCATGCGAGAGCTCCTTCTTGGCCGCGAGTTCCGGTCCAAACTCCACCACACTCCATGCAAGCATTGTCACTGTAAATGCCATTGGAAATCCAAACTTCACATTGTCGCCGGCATCATAATACCCTCCCACTAGATCAATCTATTAAAAATGAAACTTGTGATGTTAAGAACAATAAATTGGACAATTTTTAATAAGAACAATGGTAGGGAGTCCAAATGCAGTGATTGTGAATTATCCATTCTGACTCGCGTCAACTGTGGAACCCATCCTCTACTAATAATCACTTTATTGAAAAAATAAAATTTTCGAACTCCAAGTGGTTTGAAAGCCTACAATGCCCCGGGTGTCGTACTTCCTAGATTCTCAGTCGTTGAATGTGATGGTGAAACTCACTTAAGAGCTTTTGCAACCCACCTGCCATATTCTCTGTCAATTCAAAATATAGCAAGTGGGTTAAAATTTGGGCCTCCAATGGGCTGCTATTTCACCTATCAAAAATTGCCTTTGTCATTTTTGGTGCCAAATCTAGCAAAATTTATAGCAATACTTATTTCTATATCTCTCAATCCTATCCGTCTCTCTCTCAATCTAGCAAATCCTATCTGATTTCTGCACCATGGTAATTTTTTTTTTTTTTTTTTAAATTATTTTTTTCAATATCATCTTGTTGAAAATGGGTCTCTCTGGTTTTGAAAAAGATCATAAAAAATTTCACAAAATAGGATTTAGTTTGCAAAACAAGAATTAAAGACATTGATTTTAGAAAAAATAAAATAAAACAAAACCCATACGTACAAGTTAGCAGTTGCAGAGAGAGAGAGAGGGGGACAAGCTTGAGAATTGAGAGATAGCGGCTGAAGCTCGCGAACAGGCGAACCCGAACCGGAACATATGGGTTTTGTACTTCTAATTCTTGTTGATTTTGTAGTTTGCAGTTGGAGAGAGAGAGAAAGAGGGAGCAATTTCAGAGTTGAGAACGAGAATAGAGATGGAGAGGGGGCAATTTCAGTGTTGAGAATGATAATAGAGATGGAGGTGATTGGGGAGGCTGAAATGATTTGCCCTAAATATAAATATATTTTTAGTAATAATATAATCAAATATATATAATATACATATATATATATATATTTCGAAAAAGAAAAATATATATATAATATACATATCAAATAATAATAATTTTTTTTTTGATAAGTAAAAAAAATTTATATAATAATATAATCAAATATATAAATTTATACAAATCTATATATTTTTGGGTTCTTTTTTTACCAGATATTTTAGATTTTTGATTCTTTTTAATTAAGTTTAATTTTATTTTCCTTATAATGTCTACAACTTGATTTGAAATGTGCCTAATATTAACATTACTGATGCAAATATGAATGGTAGGAATGGTAGTTAAAAAAGAACAGTGGTTATGTCAAAAAATAGCATTTTGCATCAAATGCATCATTGGAGCAAAATTGCTAATATGTAGCATTTTAACACTATATTACTGTCAAAATATAGATTTGACATCGAATTTAGCATTTTACCATTGAAGATGCTCTAATGGATGATACAACAACTGAGACACTCCGAAATATTGTAAACTTTCTAGGTTGGTATCATCATTGATGTCACATAAGTGGTGGGGCCCAACCTGCTCTCACAATCACTCCATTGAAAACATTATTAATGGTGGAGTCCACGCTTACACTCTACTCATAATCACGGTTAAGTATTCTAAGTCATTAGTATGTTTAATCAATTAAAACACACCATTCTAATTGGTTGAGAGGAGTTTTTATGAGTGCGTGAGACCAACCAACTTGAGTGAAAGAGTTAAAAGGAGAGACATTTCTCTAACTCCTTTTTTTTTATATAGAAAAAATAAATAAAATCAACTAAAATAATGGCTACACTTTAAAGAAAACTGAACTAGATATTACCCCAGCACCCCTGCCATCTTTTAGGCCTGAGTGGCCTCGCCACTTGACACGTTGATTAGGTGGCAACTTTCCTGATCTTTGAGCTTCAAAGTACAACAAAGATTTGGTAAGGGCTGAACCATAGTTGAATGAAACAACACCATGAAACAAAAGCAGAAGAGAAAATCCAAACACTAAGAATGTGGTTGCAGACATTGTTATGACAAAAATTATAGGAACATAAACAAAGGAATACGACAACAATTGCAAGTTCTCTATTGTTGCTATGTCATTTGTGCCCTTATGATGGTGGTTCAATTTATAGAGGCAGTTATAACTTACTGCAGTTAATCTATCCAGATTAACTCTTTCTATTTTCATTTGTGTCAAGGAATTTCTCTTTAATTTATAAAGTTGGTAACCAATCTTTTTTTTCCTTTCTTGTTTTATGTTAATTAACTAATAATATCAATGCAAATGAAGCAAACAAGGGAAAAAATATTGAATCCAAACTAATTACACTTTTATGCTTTTACTGTCCTTGATTAGAGTGTCTGAATAGGACTAACCATCAAATGTGTCCAGGTCTAATAATAATTTCTGCTATCCAAGTTTTTCTTTAAACTTTATTAGCCTATTAATGATAATTCTGTGTAAGAAAATTAAAGTTGCTCCTCCCAAAATATTTTAAATTTCCTTTTTATGATACCTATTAATTTATATATTAAAGGTGATTTGAATGAACCTTTTAGTATTGCTTTTAAAATCATTAAATATAATAAAAAAAACGTGCTACTTATTATTGTAAACTCACTAGCAACAACAAAATTGTAATCGGTGTGAATAATTATAATTGTAATTTCAACGAATTTATCTCAATTCCTAATACAGCAAACACACTTATCTCATTTCTTAAAACAATAAAAAATCACTCCTCTCCTTATTACTTATTATTGTAATCTCACTAGCAACAACAAAATTGTAATTTGTTGGAATAATTATAATTGTAATTTCAACGGATTTATCTCAATTCCTAATACAGCAAACACACTTATCTCATTTCTTAAAACAATAAAAAATCACTCCTCTCCTCATTTAAAGTTTCCTAACTAACAAAACCTACCTTAAATAGGGTTCTTACAAATATATATATATATATATATATATATATATGTATAAAATTCAGAAAATTTCTTTATTATTATTATTATTATTATATATAGTAGTGTTCAATTGCTCCATCGAAGCAAGAAATTATATATTAACTTTTAATTGTAACCTTAGGATCTAATCCTAGGGCAATTAGTTAATTAACTTTTCTTTTCTTTATTTTAAGAAACTTACATTTTCTTTCCATATCATTAAATATTCTTAAAGTAAAATGACATAACTAACCAATTTATTAAAGAAAACAAGAATAAAATAATTTGGTTACTTTTTGCCAAATTCGCAAGCAGCAACTAAGATAAAGTAAAATTAATCTAAAATTAAAAGTCTATCATTTTTAGTTTCTTTCCACACTTTAAATTATGAAAACATATACTAAATGATTTTAAATAAATAGAGAATATAATTCTCCATTAGAATACTATAAATTAAGGACCTTGAAAAAACATTAGTATTTGCAATGATATTATACATATTGTGTCATGCTTTTTATAGGATCAACACTTTGAACATTTAATTTACCCAAAAAAAAAAAACTGAGAACATTTAAATGGACATATAATAATATATTAAGAGTTGTTTTGGCAGTACCTTTCTAAAAAAATTATGAAGCCAATAGTAGTCTCCTAATTCTAAATTAGTTGCTGACCAAATTCAAAATATTTTATTAAGCCTAGTATAAAACATGGATCAATCTTGAAATTTGAGTTTTGATTATAATTAATACTTCTCAAGCAATATTTATTCAAAGGCCATTTTATATATCTATTTTGATTAATTTTATTTGGTTTCCGTTACTGTTTGCAAATTTGGTGAATAAACAATCGGTAGTGATGGGGAAGGGTTTGTTTACTGGACAGAGAAACCTACGCCAAAAAGTAGCAAAATTATTTTATTCTTATTTCCTTTAATAAATTATCTAGTTCTATCTATATTTCATGGTATGAAAAGAAAATGTAAGTTTCTTAAAATAAAGAAAAGAAAAGTTAATTAACTAATTGCTCTAGGATTAGATCCTAAGGCTACATTTATATATATCTTTTTTTACAACCAACTATTACTATGCATGGTGTGGATGAATTTCTTGCCCACTGATGAGCAAGAGTGATCATTATCCATTAAAGAGATAATAAATTTAGATGGGTAAAGACAAGAAACCCTCTAAACTATGTTCGAATTTGCAAATAACCTTCTTGAAGTATATTTTGTGCATAATACCTAAACTATCACATTTAGTTGCAAAATGCCCCAATCATTGACCTTTTTATTAAAAGACTATAATACCCTTTCTTATTGAATTATACTTAATCTGTTTTTCTTATTGAAATAAATTATGAAAAAAAATCATACTAATTTGATGACATATACTCCATTAAAATTGTATAAATTTACATTTAATTTTTTAAATTATTTGTTTAAATAAAATTTTAAGTAGAAAATTTTAAAACAATTTAATTAATTTCTTAAATTTTCATGAATATATTGTATGAAAACGAAGTTATCTTTTAGGGTAAAAAAGTTTAAACGGAGTATAATAAGTTTTATTATAAATAATAAAAAAAAAAATTTCTAGTTGGTACTCACATACATTGCCTCCACTGAGGTTCGAACCCTTGACCTTCCTTGGTCTTATACCGCTAGGCCCCTGTTGGTAAATAAATAATAAATTTTTAACAATAAGTTAATTATTTTAAAAATGGTAGTTACAAATCTTTTTTTGTTTCCCTCCCCTTTATGATAAATTGATACTAATGATATAATTAAGGTAAATGCTATAATCAATATAATAAAAATAATTAATGAGATTTGGTGTTTCTCAATTACAGCCTATGGATGCGAACAAGAAGTCAATTAAATCCAAATCTCTTACTACCATGGTAGAACAAAATCTATATTAATTTTAACCTTTTGGAACCCTGTATTGAAGCATACCTGTTTTCCTGTATAGGCATTGGTAAGCCTGAGGAACCCTAAATTAGGCACTGCTTGGATGTATGGAAGTCGGTTTCTCTTAGCATAGACCAATGCAACATCCAATGTGCGAGGGTTGTTAGGATAATGATGTCTCAAATTCTATTATGATTATGGGTCTATTTTTAGAGTGGTATTATATATATCCTCTAATGTATAGATAATTTTGCCAGTGAGTTAGGTTTGGGGTTATAAAATAGATACGCGGGTTATTGTTAAGAGCATGAGTGGAGAGAAACTTGTAGCCCGTAAAGATAATCTCGTGACGGTGTGAGCACAATGGATAGAAAGTTTGCGTGTTTGTAACAATACAGATATTCCTCATTTGCTACTCTCACCTTCGTAATGCCAATCATTGTGGGTTGGGTCATTTTCCCACTTGTTTAATAAAACCTCTTCTGCTTCTACACAAGTTAGCACTTGCAAGTTCTATAGATTCAAATATTTGAGGGTACTGTTGTGCCAAATACATAATCAAAGTCCAAATTATTTTTTTGATTGTGGCGGTAAATAAGTAGAAGCCGCAAATTTTGCAACTTAGAAATCCCAGTTGGAAGCACTTCTATGTTTGAGTTCTTAATGTCTAAAGTTTAAAGATTGTGGAGTCTTCCAATAGACTTTGAAAGCTCCTTCAACTTGGATCCTTTCAACTTCAAATATCCCAAACTGAAAAGATTAACTAGTTTGATTTACTCATGAGAATTGACTTAATTTCCATCATTTCATTGGTATTATTTTACCCACATGAATCTACTATAAACAGCAGTGAAAAATTCCCTTAAATACTTCCTAAACTTGTACATATATATATTTCAGAATTTCAAGCAAATTTATTTTTACTTTTTTTTTTTTTAATCAAAAATATTTCAAACAATTGTATAAATGGTAAGAGTTGGGCTAAAGGGACCAAACGGTCCACACTTGGCAAACCAAACCCATAAACCAAAAGATGTTCCAGGGAAAGAAACTACAAAATTGTAAAGTAACTTGGCCCAATCCAAATAAAATATCCCCGAGAATCATGAAGCTCTTTATACCTTTTCAACCAAGGCCCAAGCCCAACATAAAGTGACCATGATTTTAATCCTAAAAGGCACATTTTACAACAGGCACATGTTAGTCGTAAATGTCATTGATTTAATAGTTTCAACTTTCAACTATTAAGCACCAAGGTTTGGAAGAGTTGGCAAGGTAAAGTCTTGGACACCATCATGTCCCTAATTTGAAACTGTCTATGCCGGGGTTTATCTGCTAAATAGTTCCCGATTTTCAAACTATTAAAACTAAATTCGAGGAAAAAACACCTATTATAATTAAATTCCAGAAAAGAAAAACTACTAATATTAGACAATTTAAATTTATATAATCTCGCTCACACTTTATATTGAAATATTTCCAAACAATATTTTGGTAAAATATTTTGAGGAGTCAAGTTTGCTTTATTTATTTATCTTTTGATTAATTAAATTTCTATTTATCTGCCAAAATTGAAGAAAAGCTGGACTGGTCCCCAGACCCGGCCCAAGCAGTGGTTCATACCATTTGCTTTCTTTTTTCTTTTCAATAATCAGGTGTCCGGAACTTTGCCCTACCTAATTCATGAGACCTGTGTAAGACATTCTCACACGAATTAGGTAAAACTCGAATTACGTATGTAAGTGTGGCCTCTAAATAATTATTTACATTTAGGAGGAATCGATCATGATACTTTCATGAGGCACAAAAGACAAGTCATTTCTTACTCACATAATTTAATCGGATATATCTAATTCTGTAACTCTGTATCATTACCCATGACAGTAAAATAGAAATTAGCAAAGATAAATTTCAATATAAACAACGACTGAACCACCACATTACAACCAACAACATCAACAACTACTGCTACATCATCAGCCTCATCAACAACTACAACAATAACCATGACAAAAGCAAAAGCAGGTAAACCTTTTATTTCATATAAAAAGCAGATGTACTTGTAGTAGTTTGCACATATCCACCATGCCTTGACAAACCAAGCAAACTAGCTAGGTAGGACTTTCATTGCTTCAAACATAATAAAACTAGCATTGTCAACA